TTTATTATTTAGTCTGTAAGAAAGTTATAGAGTCCACAATCTATTGTATCTCAAAATCGATTGATCATGAAACACTGACGGCCAATGTAATTTCTTGAAGCCCAAAAATGTAAAGACAGTACATACATCCCCCAAATTACCCCTTTTTGGTAAGTAAGTCTGAGATATTTAGTAGGAGGCATGGCAAGTTTTTTAAAGTTGTCATTTTTTTGTCATACTTTGTTTGGAAAATTATTAAATAAAAAAAAACATTTTCACAATTTTTTTTAACATACTGCTACCAGTGCAGTACAACGTCATCATATAACTGGTGTTGCAGTGATCAGGGACACTGACTGGTGACAGCATGAAAAAAATATATATATTTATTTCAATTTATTTTATTTATTTATTTATTTTTAATTACTTTTTTTTTCTTTTTTACAAAATTTTTTTTCTTAACACACTGTGACCAGAGTAGTATAATGTTACCATAGTAACATTGTACTACTCTAGGGAAGTGATCAGTATTTTTTTTTTTTTACATATTATGATTTCTTATAGCAAAGAATTTAATTGCTATAAGCAAGCATTTAAATTAATGAAATCAATTCTTTCAGGCTTTTTTGTGATTAGCTGTGATTGGCCAGAGCTAATCACCTGACACAGATAGATAATTGTATAAAATGGGTGGCATGAAAGGAAGCCATCGATTGTTTACAATTGTCATGTGACTTGCTGTGATTAGTCACAGCAGTCACATGGTACTAGAAATGGGCCACTACACAGATCTGTCACCAGCTGTGTCTGAGGGACACAGCCGTTGACAGATCTCACCAGAGCGGCTCGGCAGGCATTCGCGAGACACGATCCAGGAGGACATCATATTATGCCCACCCAGATCGATTAGAGCCCGCTCAGCCATCATTTTGCTATTGGCTGGGCAGGAACTGGTTAAAAGGAGGTACATCAGGCTGATTTTGCCCACATCATCTCAGTCAGTGCTGCCAGGATCTTCTTCAACCATTTTGCACAATTTTACATACATGTTCTCTGTAAAACACACTCCTTTAGAGCCTGCTTCAAATTCCCATTGACTTCAATGGCCCTTCCAATTCAGAAATTCTGGATTTCGATGGCTTGCTAATATAGTGCTCACCCACTGTAGGCTACCATTAAAAGTAAGAAAGCCTGCACAGTAGCAGGGGAGTGTAGGTGGAAGATGGAGAAGTGAGGTTGAGATGCAGGAGCCTGGAAGGGAACCCAGGCTGGAAGGGGCTCGCTTCCAGGCAGAGGGACCTTGAAAGGAAGAAAACTGTGGACTTCACTGGCCCGCTGAGAGAGGACCACCTGCTGACAGGGAAAGAGCGGCCCAGCTGATGGGCCTGGTAGCAGCCACCTACCCAACAGCAGCACAGGAGACGGACTTAGTGAGTACTCCTACACCCCCTGGGCCAAAGAGGAAAGAGAACATTTGGCTGGGAAACCTGACTAGCTTTACACCCGGGACTGTTACATTTCAAGTGGAAGCTTTGGACTCCCTTGCCCAGGCATTCCTCCAGATAGCTGGATAAAGAAGAGGATTTATCTGGGGTTTGGGGTGTTACACTAGGAGAGGCTGGAGAGGTCTCCCAGAAGAGAAGTTCTGACTTTGGGACTTGTAGTATAGTTCAGGAAGTTTGTCCTCAGTTGCCATTCCCTTGGGCATACCATACACCCCTTTCCCAATCCAAATTCTATATCCCTAATGCAACTTTGAAACAAAGCTCAAAGACTGATTTTCTGTCTCCTGGTACAAGTCTGAATAGAAAATGTGTGATGCCTAGCTGTGCAGGACTATAGGGGGACCCAGCTCTTTAGCAACTCCTAAGGGGGTAGTGCTACACAGGAGACAAGCTCAGGGAGTGTTCAAGAAAATCCAAAATGATATTAGAATCAATAGGAGGACAAACATCTTAGCACAAATCCTTATGGTGGCAGGCACAAACAAAATTTACTTTCTTTTTCCCATTGATATCATTTAAGTGTACCTGACTTGGCCTAAAATATCTAGAAGTTAACAACAGTGCTTAAGTAGTGCCCCCTCTGGTACCCGCAAGTACCTTTTAAGCCCTTAAATCTCCCATTTAAATTCTAGGCAAAGGTTGTACATGGAGTCTTTCTGTGTTAAATTGGACTACTTTCCATGTTAAGTTCATGCTTCAGTGAGTAGTAGAGGCTGCACTCTTGACAGTTGATTGACAGGTGGGAGGGCATAATTTCAATCATGGCATAGAGTACCTTAACACATTACAAACAAGGGATATAACAGATTTGCCCTCCTAGTTTTCTATGTCCCCATTCATACAGTGTTCCTCCCCAGATTGCTGCCATCATTACATTTAGTCAGTATATAACAAATACTCCTAACCCCAAATTAGGAAGATGTGCAGTCCCTGCTGACATTTGATAGATGCTGATCATGTGATCAGCTACTTAAGTATAAATGGCCTAATTGGCTGTCATAGTTCATCATTTTTGAGGAAAGCTTTAGGCTATTCTTTTCTGGAGAATGAATTCAAAACTTATAACTAGATGAGAGAAAATGAATTTCTTTTTGTGTGTGCAATTTGTAAAAAGCAAACATAGAAGGTAAAATGGTCCTCGTTGTACAATGTTCATTGTTAGCTTGAGCTTTTGCTGCAGCTCTTATTCTGAAATGTCTACAATACCTCATTGTCTGTGATCCCTATTGACTTCTAACAAGGATAATGAAAATATATTCAGCTAGGAAGAATATTCGTTAGCAGAACATTTGGCACTGACACTGAGAAATTTAAAGCTCAGGTTAGTTATTTTTTACGGAAGGGAGGGGGGGATACAGCACCAAACACTAAAATAATCGAGTCTAGATAATAATTTCACTAGATTGTTAATGTGCTTGTTGTTCAAAATCATCATAGGGACACTCTAAGGCAACCCAAAAAAATGTAAGTGGCCCAGTTATAATGGAGGACAGATATGCAGTATCACTCCATACCACATACTATATTTTTATCACCCATTCATACAATGCAAGTTTAGTGCATTATCTTAAAAATGTTTAAACATTTTTAAGGTAATGCACTAGGCCGGTGCTCCCTCTGTTTGTTTTTCTCTATTCAGTACTTTGGACTCCTCCGGTCCTTTGTGGGCAACAAGGCGTGCATATCCCAAGAATTTCCATATGTGGTCTTAATGACATTGAGTCCATCTCCAAGCACAGGAGTAACTGGGCTTTCCACTTATACAAAGCAGGTTATGGCGGTTTTTCATCTGAGGCAGGTCACATGACTTTGACAGTTCTTGTGACCGTGCTCTCTCCATTTTTTTTTACTCATTAATTTTAATTACTGTATGTACTGTTTAGTTCAGAGTGCAATGCACATTGATAAAGCACATAACTGTTTTTTATGTATGGTAAAGCCTTCCCTTTACTTTATAAATAATCCCTAAGACCGCATGCACACAGGACGTATTTTTTTCCTCCTCTGGATGTCTTTGCTCCAGGAGTGGAAAAAACAGGTTAAACCATGCCTACAGTCATAAAGTCATGTTGTAAGTGCGTTTAGACACATTTAGAAGCTTTAAGGTGTGTCAAGCATTTGGGCATTTATTCCATTGGCCGTTGGAATGAATGAACACTCAAGTGCAAAACAAGCCTAGAGTTTAGGTGCGTTCAGCTTTTCTTCTGCCTAAACGCCCTCTCTTGAACGCACTGGTGGTGTGTTTTTTTTTTCAGTCTCTAAATGCTCACCCTCTAATAAACCTGTAAACACCAATGTGTGCATGGCCACATAGGCAAACATAGAGGTGTGTTTAGAGGCTGAAAAAAAGGTCAATTTCCTGTAAAGGTGTTTTTTTTAAGTCCTGTGTACATGAGACCTTAGTGTTAGAATCGGACTGAACTATATACCTATATCTTTCAATTTCAAGGTCAGGCTTTTTAGAAGAAGGAATAGTGGGCTTGGGTATCTCTCTCACAATCAATTTTAAATATATAGTAAGTGGATTCTATTTCTGTAGCAGGGCCCTCGAACCCCTCGTGTATTGTTTTGTTACTGTATCGTCTCACGTACTGTCCCCCACTATAATGTACAGGGCTGAGCAAATCTTTTGGCGCTATATAAATACTGTATAATAATAATAATTTCTGTAAATAAATTGAAAAAAAGTACAGACTAATATCTGTATCAGTCAGTCAAGAATAAACCACAGGATTTACAAGGTTCATATTCATTTGTATATATCCAAACAAGGACTACAGTACTCTAATAAAATATTCTGCATCTTCAATGTTTTATGAAGCCGCCAGGCCTTTGTCAAGTGCTTAATAAAGAAACAATTTAATAAAAAATTGAAGCTGTAGTGTGTTCGGAATGCTGCACTCTTTCTTTGCATGTTTTATTTGAGCTGCCCTAAGTTTGGCATGTATCTGGAGAAATAGAGTTCTCCCTTCAAGCAATAGTATGGACAATAGAATGCATGGGTCCCTAGAGCCTAGGTACTTATTAAACACACTTTTCACTATTAGAACCTGTATATTTAATTGAACCTTATACTGGGACATATTTAGGCTGCACTTGTGTGCAGATCTGGAGTTTGCACTTTTCCATGATCCCACTAGCTGAATGTTTGTTCCAGTGAGCAAATCTGAAAACATGGAGGCCAGAGAAGTCATCATTTTTCGAGGGAAATATGTAGTTGTTTTGTGTATATTTTATTATGATTTAGATTTTAAAAAATACCAATTATATACATTTTTATTTTAGGTTTCATTTCATATGTTTTCAGTTTTTTTCCTTTCCTCTCATAGCCTATTTTTTATAGAGCTTAGTAGGTCAAGATGAAAATGTACCATGTAATGCACTTTTTTTTTTGAACTCAGATTTTATTTAAGAATATTTTAACCGCTTTCCAGCCGCCCTATAGCAGAAATACTGCTACAGGGCGGCAGGGCCACGCAAAATCTCGTGTATATATATATATATATATATATATTTTGATTTTGCATTTCCGGCTAGGGGGTGCGTGCACGCCCTACCCACGCCACCAATGGCACCCTCGGCAGTTGATCACTGGGTCCCGGCTGGTGATTCCCCACTGGGACACAGCAAGCACCAAGTATTACTGACGGGGGAGAGGCATATATGTAAACAATACTGATCTCTCGCCTGTCAGCTCCTGCACTTTGCTTTGTATTGCTCTGCATAGCAGAGCAATACAAAACAATGTGCTGACAGAGTGAAACACACACACAGCACAAAGTTAACCCTTTGATCGCCCCACATGTTAACCCCTTCCTGCCCAGTGCCATTAGTACAGTGTCAGTGCTTTTTATTAGCACTGATCACTGTATTGATGTCACTAGGGATGTCAGTGGCAGTTAGTCAGTTCCCCCCCAGTGTCAGAATGCCCGCTGCAGACCCGCTATAAGTCGCTGATTGCCGCCATTACTAGTATAAAATAAAAGATTCCAGTATATACACCGCCATTTGTAGATGCTATAAATTTAATGGAAACCAATTAATTTACACATATTGGGATTTTTTTTTTAGCAAAGACATGTCGCAGAATACATTTTTGCCTAAATTTAGGAAGAAATTTTAAATTTTTTTTACTGGACATGTTTAATAGCAAAAAGTTAAAAATATTGTTCTTTTTCTCAAATCAGTCTTTTTTCGTTGATAGTGCAAAAAAATTTAAAAACCGCAGAAGCGATCAAATACCATTGAAAGAAAGCTCTATTCCTGGGGAAATAAAGGACATAAATTTAATTTGGGTCCAGCATTGCATGACCACGCAATTGTCAGTTAAAGTAACGCAGCGCCGTATCACAAAAAATGGCCTGGTCAGGAAGGGGGGGAAATCCTCTGGAGGGCAAGTGGTTAATAAGCTTTAACACCACAAAAACAAACTGCCACACAGGGCAGAAGACAAAAACAACAAAAACATATCAATCATACACAATACCTAAACCAGAGTAAATAAATGATAAATAAGAAAAAGCTAAAAATAGGGAAAAAATATGTTCCATTCATTTAGACAATATAGCAATATATTTATGCATAGAGTTTCTCTGAAAAGTATGCTTTTCATAAGAGATATATTTATTTAGATCCATTATCCACTCAAAGAGTTGGTGGGCGAGGCAAAGTTAATTTCATTGCAATCAACTTCAAGCTATAAATAAAGCTCTAGAGATAGTAAACACCAAATCATGATCCACAGAAGAGGGGGTCAACACAGGCATGTTAGGGGCTCAACTAAAATAGTCCCCAGTAGGCCATTTAAAGTACCTATGCCCAAATTCTCTTCAGCTTGGGACATCACCACATGAGATGGATAAGGGATCCTGAGGGATGACTGCACCTAGTACAACACAAGTTATCTTTCAGCCTCGTAATAACTTGTAACGCAAGTTAATGAATCAAAGCAGAGACTTTCCCCCCTCAGACAGAAAGTTGAAATTTGCATATTAGTAAAAGTATTGTTTAGTCAGCTTAGACTGCACATTTTGGGAAAAGGAGTGTGTTTGAAACAGCCCATGTAGCAGAATATTAAAGTCCAACTCCAGGCTACTAAAAAATTAACCCTTGCAGTTGGGCTTCACCTGTACTTCAGGGGTTAATTGCTCATATAGGTCCAGGGGAACAACAAAGGAAGATTTAATTACCCAGTCATCTGATCCTCCCAGCTGTAAGACCAGTCCCCGTAACATCTTCTCCCCTGAGCTCCAGAGATCTGAACTCATTAAAACCAAAGCACGGTCCATAGCCCTGCCTTGGAGAAGAGGACACTGAGGGACAGTCCATCACTGAAGTGTGGGGGACTGCCATCAGCAAGGGGAGCTGTTTCTCCTCTCTCCTAGAAAAAACAAGGATTTACCCATGTTTGGCTTTGTAATACTTTTCCTGTCATCACCCCGTATCCCACCTCCCAAAACCACCGTATTCACATTATTGGACACATAGGGATACTTTGGAATAGGGAGGTGCAGGGCAATGTTCAAGCTTTACAGGGGAAAAAACAAGAATTTCATAAAGGGTCATCTACTTATGTTTGGGTATACTAACTCTTTTTGATGGGCAGTTTCTACCAATGGTAACCTCTGCTTAGGTGCTTTTCACATATTACGAGCAGGGATTTTTTTCACCTTTTGCACTGAATGTATGTAATGGCAAGAGGTACTGGGGTGTTCTGGAGAGTCTATTGATGCTGGCTGCTGAGGGATCAATTGTTGCAGGGCTGATATTTTGTTGCTGGGACGTCTTATGTTGCTGGGAGGGATCTACTGTTGAGAGAGCAGTCTATTTTTGCTAGCTGCTGGAGGGTCTTTTGATGCTGGATGCTGGGAGATCTATTATTGCTGGCAGGGGTCTATTGTTGCTGAGGTGGATTTATTGTTACTGGGTGGGGTCTATTGTTGCATGGAAATCTATTGTTGCCGGGGGGATCTATTGTTGCTGGGGAGAGGGTTCTGTTGTTGCTGGCTGCAGGGGATCTATTTTACTACTTTTCCTATTATCATGAACAAATTCCATACAAATGACTTAGCACCACAAAAATACTTGGTTCTGCAGTCTCTAATTGAGCCTTACTAGGAGGTGGGTAGGGGGTGGAACCAAGGGATGGTGCTCAGAAGTGGGTAGGTGGTGGAGACATGGAGTGACTCAGAAGGGGGGAGTACCTGTACCTATCCTCTGAGAAAAAAAGCCCTGATTACGAGCATCCTCAATTGCCCAGATTTGTGACAGATTAAATGTTAAGGCAAAAGAGATGTAGGCTGGGGACAAGCCGATTTGATAAATGGTAAAAGTGACTTGGACCTCCAATAGTACAGGCCCTGTCACAGCTAAAAGGTGTTTCTAGAACATTGGAAAGAAATCCTATACTTTGCTACATTCTTATACTGTAGAATTTCAACAATGCAGGTAAAACTATCATTAAATAAATCCCCATATTCTGCAATTGTTGCTACTTTTGGTGTGAGCTTTAGTAGTACCCACAATAAAGTTTCCTGAGGGTGAGATAGGGGTTGCTGATAAATAAATTGTATTTTGTACAATGCTAGTTGGCATAAGGTAAACTTTACATATTTAGCTTTTATTTATTACTCTGTTCATACTCAGAGGACAATGAAAATGTTTCTACATGCTGTCACAGTGTGGCGACCTGTCACAGTGTACAAAGGATATTTCACCCGGGATTCTCAACAAGGCAGGTTGAAGGGCTCCAGGGTACTTGTTTAATGCAGAGGAAACTGGCTTTTCACTTTCCTCATTTGTTTGTAAAGTCAATTTTGGGACCTGGAGCCTGGAGATTTCAAAGTGATTTGGGAGGGATGAAATCTCCAATCCTTGGACCAGGTTTTGGGAATGGCCAGGAGACTGACTGGTCTGGTGTGTGTGGGCTTCTTCTAGAGTCAGGACCAGGGTTCTGGGCTCCACCGTCCCGAGGAGTCCATGGGAGCAGCCACAGTGTGTATGGTGGCACAGAGTAGACAGGGGCCCAAGCCTGTGGGCTGGAGAAGCAGGGTGCTGTGAAAGGGTGCTAACCTAGGTGCAGTGTGTTGCCTGTGAATAGTCAAGAGGACCGAGGCATGAAGCCTGAGCAGCGGTGCTGCTAAAGAGAGCCAGGAGGCTGAATCTTTGTTTTCATTTGCATTGATGGTGGAGACCCCTGCGTGGGAAACCTATGTTGTATGGAACTTTCTTTTAAATAAAATTGGGCAAAAACGGCCTTTAAAAAGAAGGAAGTGAGTGATTGTGTGCTTCAAAAGCTTTACCCTTGGTGCTAGTTCCCACAATACTAATAAAAGCATTACTCAGCACTGTAGTATATTATTGTAAAAATGAGCAGATCAAGAAAATCCCAAAATTGGCCTTATCCCATATGCAAATTACATTTTCTTTCACATAACCGTTGATAATCTGTTAACAGCTTCAATGAGCAAAAAGAAATTTAATTAAATATACAGATACCCTAAAGACATGAATGAGGAAGATATAATAACTACCAGAATACAGATGAATGGAACAAACATGTACTGCCCTTTATCACCAAACTCTGCATTATTTAGACATACATTGATGAAGATGAAATCGTCTAATTTTTTACAGTATTTAAAACTGCCAGCTTATGTCTTATTTATATATCTCACACATGAGGCTTAAAGCATATCTAAACCCAAGAGAAATAGTATAATACACTGCGGCTTATCTCTCCTTAGATGTAATGGCTGCATTAGATTTCTTTGTCAGGCTTTTTTTTTCACTTGATGATCCTTCCAACAACACACTTTCTGTGCTAGTGGGACAACACTCACCTACTGTACTGTATCAAAGGAGAGCCTCACCCTAGGATAGAAAGTGCGTTAGAACTACAGAACACCCCCATCTTCTCCTCTACATAACAAAGGAGGCATTGGGAACAATGCTAATGAATAAGAATTGGCAGCAAGCACTGGAAGTTATCACCTCACCAGATTTCTGGCAGGATCAACTGTTATTTTTTTCTACACTTATTGAACAGATATAACAAAACACTTTCTTTTACAAAGAGCTTTATTGAATATTAAGCAAAGATAAACAGACATTCTGAGCATAAATTCAATGACCAACAACTATAAATCATATTAAATGACGAAAATCTGGTTCAAGGCATGCATCAATAAAGGCATAAGCTGAAAAGTTTACATAAAAGCCCTGTAGGAAAGGATGGGGGAAGGGGTTAGAAGGGAATGTTTAACAAACCTTTGCGGGTCAATGATAATGTAAACTCTAAAGAAAATTTTTGCTATATCAACATTATAGAAAACGGGAGAGGCACGAGAAGAGGCCTCTCCAAAAAAAAATTGTACCTGATCATATCCTAGAGTGTATAAAGAAATCTAAATTGCGTAAATAGTATTGCGGACGTAGCGCAGAAAGCAGCAAGCACAATCCGTAAAATATGTTTAAGGACAGATTGAACAGCAGAGTAAGAAAAGACAAACAGTAGAAAGACACGGACAGTACAAACAACAACAGAGAAAAAAAAAAAAAAAAAGGGGGGGGGGGGGGGTTGGGGCTCCAAGGGGAATCACAGCAAAATCCATCCTCATATCGACAGAAGAGATTGGTCAAATCTCGAGGGTTGAGCTATATCCAACCAGGGACGCCAGATCTGCAAAAATTTTGTATGGGTATCCAACAATATGGCCGTCAATTTTTCATTAACCATTATGAAGTTCATCCGGTTTTTGACAGCCTCAAAACTAAGGACAGGAGTCTTCCAAGCCCTTGCAATTGTCAATTTAGTTGCCATAAATAAGTGTGATGCCAGCTGCCGATCAGAACGGAGAAGACCCTCCAGTGGTTTAAATAGAAGCGCTTCATACGGGTTACGCTTAATGTCTGTGTGAAGGATAGTGCGGAGGAGAGCATACACCCTAA